CCATGCCTGTAATCTGAGCATTTGGAAGGCAGATGTAGGAGGATCAGGAGTTAAAGGTCAGCCTAGGCAATATGAGACTCTCAGAAGAGAGGGAAGGAAGGAGGAGGGAGAAAGAGATGAAGGAGGGAGCGGAGCAGGAAGGAAGGGAGAAGTAGAAGAGGGGAAGGGAGCCAGGCGGTGGTGGTGCACGCCTTTAATCCCAGCACTCGGGAGGCAGAGGCAGGTGGATCTCTGTGAGTTCAAGACCAGCCTGGTCTACAAGAGCTAGTTCCAAAGCCACAGAGAAATCCTATCATGAAAAAAAAAAAGTTCTGAATGTAAAAGAAGGCATACATTAGAAAAATTCATTAGGAGAAAGAGTCCACCAACTTCAACTTCATAGTATGCAGAGTGTGTCAAGAGCTAGACTGCATGAAGAATGATGGGATTGTAGGCATACTGAATTTCAGTTAATAGCCTATAGCCCCAGAACCCATGTAAAAGAGTCAGCAGTGCATGTCTAGAATCCCAGCACTCTTATAAAGAAATGGAATGCTGAGAATCTCCCATTCTTCAGGGTTCTCCTGAATCCCCAGAAGCTCCCAACAGAGTTAGCCTGACATGCACAGCAACAAGATACCTTGTCTCAAACAAGGTGGAAGTTGAGAACCATGCCTGAGATTGTCCTCTGGGTCCTGTACATGCACACATGCCCTCATACACAAACATGTACACTTGGCAAACACACAAAGATACACACACATGTTCGTGCACACACACACACACACACACACACACACACACACACACACACACACACACACACAAACAATTATGAAATGTTTTTAAGAAAATCATAGCAGCTAGAAGTCTTGACTCGTGGGCAGACTTCCTGGCTCTACAGCTTCATACTTTATAACCATGTCATTTAATTCACAATCGAAAATGGAGAAAGTAATCATACCTAACATGGTTACTTAAAGTATAAATGGTCTAATCTATTTAAGGACAGTTGTGAAAAACACATCTAATAAAAAATGGTGTTTTCAACATTATTGAGCTATTGAAATTAAAATTTGAGAAAGATAAATTTTGCTGTCAAAATGATTCAGTTGAGAGCTGATGAAGATGGATAGATGTGTATCTGCAGCCTGAGTTCAGTTCCTAGGAACCTACAGATCACTTAGTCATAAATGGAATGTCTTCCTCAAACACCTCCCTCAAGGCTCAGGTGTCTCTGCAGAAGAAAAGGCAGAAAGATTCTGAAAGCTAGCAGTAGTGGATGACGCCAAGAAAAAAACAGTTGGCCAACACAAGGCAAACTCCTCCATGGGGGTTTGTGCATTGTGAGTGCTTTTTGTTTTGTTTTGTTTTGCTTGGGTATCTTTTGTCCCGTTGATTTTCTTTTTGGGTTTTTTTTCTTTTTGTTTTTTAGTTTGTACATTTTGGTTTTCTGCCTTTTGTTGATTTGTTTTCCTGGTTTTGGAGAGAAGGAGAAAAAATAAGAAGTTGCCAGAGGTGAGAGATGGGAGGTTATAGCTGTGGGGTGGGAAAGAAGATGAACAAAATTTATTGTATGAAATAGTTTTATGTGAAAAAGATATCCTTTTTGTTCTTAAATTTTTAAAATACTGAAGTGCATAAATTAATGAATTAAATACACTATAATAACCAAATCATATATATTGAAGGAAAGATAAGAATAAGTAAAATGCAGTGACAAATATGTATATTTTAAGTTTAGTATTCCTAAAATATCCTATGTGCTTCATAGCAATATTACCATTCATAGAAATATGTAGAAGCAAGAAACTGTTAATTTAATTTAATACACTTAATACATTTCATCAAGTTCTCTTGGGAAGGGGCAGAATAAGCTATAGTACTAGCTTAACAAGCATTCCACAAAAAGAAGGCAAGTGCAAAGGGCCTGGAGAAGCAGTGTGCCTACCATTTCAAGAAACAGGAAGGCCAGTGTGTGTTCAGTGGAACAAATAAGGCAACAAAAGTAAGGCGGTGCTTAGAAATGGGGTAGCACTTAGGCACCAAAGTAAGAGTCTGGCTCTTAATCAACATAAGATGAGGACTAGAAGATTCCATTGTGCTGAGGTGAGCTGAAACATACTGATTTATATTCCAAAGATTCTTTCTGGATACTATGTTCAGGAAAGATAGACGTGAGGACTGTGGCAAGAAGCTCAATAAATAGGAATTCAATCCTATTACACAGTTAGTCGAGCAAGGGAAGCCAAAGTGGTAGACCATTGGGGGTTGGGGGTGAGGAGTCAATGATGACTCCAAGGTTTCTGCCATGAGTGACTTAATGGAGTTCCTCCTTGCTAAAATGAGAAGTATACGAAAGGAGAATTTTAGGGGAAACAGTAGGAACTTCTCCTGGATGGTGACATGTCTGAGGTTCCTGTTAGATGTCAGAGTAACAAGGAAGGAAACCATGGAGGCTGGAGTACAGGGGCCCATAGAACTTTGTTTAAATTATCCTCAAATTACAGAGAGCCATTAGCAGGGAGCATAGGCTGTGAGTTTATTATTTTGCCCGGAGGCTGAGCAGGTGGAAGAGCTCAGGGAGTATTTCTTTCAAATTCTCTCCTACAGCATATGCTGTGCCTTGAACAAGATCTGGAGTCTGTCTAGCAAAGATAGGATCAAATAATGGTGTTTCCCAACACAGTGTGTATAATATAATTTAGTGTCCACCATATATATGTGTTATATATGTGTGTATACATACAGCCACCATGTGTGTATAAATTCTTCTAGTCCAAAAAAGGCAATTTATTAGTGCAAACTCTGCTTTGAAATAGTATATGTCTATGTAAATGAAAATATATGATATCTGCATAATTAGAGAAATTTCTCATGAGCTGGTCACAGTGGCACACACTGTAATCCCAGCATTTGAGAGGCAAAAGCAAATCTGAGGCCAGTCTGGGCTACACAGTTAGATACTGTCTCAAAGACCAAGTAAATAAAAAGAGAAGAAGCATGAATGAGGAGCAAGAGAAAAAAGACAAAGGAGGCAAGTTTTCTATACCCCCATTACTGAGTAGTTGTTACTGTGTATCAACAAATATTTATGGTTAAGCACTAACTTTGTATGTGAGCTGTTTCAAGTCCGTTAGCATTAGCAAGCTCAATTCTTACAATTATCCAACAGAATATTATTATTTCCTTTTAAGATAAGAGGATTTTCCCAAGGTCAAAACCTTTTAAGAATGCTTAGAGTGGATGTCAATTTTTTTTTCCAGAAAAGCAACTGTGTAGTAATGAATACACTAATTTAGCTAGATTTAACTATGCTACAATGTATATATAGTGATTCAAAGGTCATGTCATATCACCTAAAAATACAATTTAATCTGTCAACATAAAATGTAATATTCAATAAACAAAGAAAGAGAAGGTTAAATGGCATAGCTGTTATATGACAAGAGAAGAATTTCATTTGTTTATAGTCAAGTAATAGGAATATTTACTGGGATCAGATACAGTTTTAAACACCTGTGGTATATTTTTTTGGTGGGGGGTGGACAATCCTGCATTCAAGTGCTTGCATTCTGGGACTAGCAAGGCGGCTTGCAAGTTAACAACACTGACTGACTACTTTCCTAGAGGAACCAAATAAAATTCCTAGCACCTACATGGAAGTTCACAATGGTCTACATATCCAGTTCTAGAGGATCTGATGTCCTATTCTAGTCTTCAAAGGCACTGCATGCACTTGTGCACAGACAGACATTCAAGTAAAACATTCATATACACAAAAATAGTAATTTAAGAAAAAAAGTTTTCTTTTTAGCAAGGTCTAAATTAGAGTGTTACCTGCTGAGTTCTCCAGTAGATATGGGGTGGAGGGATTACAGAAGATGTTAGAATTAGAAAGTGTTTGACAAAGGATGGAATGAAATAGATGAATGATGAATAGAGCCAAAGTTGAATTTAGTGGATTTGAAATATTTACTGGCGGTCACTTAATCCAGCCATATTTATGCTATGAACTGATGCATTTCAGCTTACTTTTGGGTGTAATTGCAAAATATACTGAGTGAGGTAACCCTGATCTTGTTTGCTGTTCTTATTTTTTCTTTCCTTTTTTAAGGTTTATTTATTTATTATGTATAAAGTGTTCTGCCTGCATGTATGCCTGCAGTCCAGAGGAGCACAGCAGATCTCATTACAGATGGTTGTGAGCCACAAGGTAGTTGCTGGGAATTAAACTCAGAACCTCTGGAAAAGTGCTTTTAACATGAGCCATTCAGCCCTCTTGAGTTTTCTTGATACTTCTTTCTTTCCTTAAATTTTTCTAAATATGTCAATATCATTTATTTATCTATTGTTTTAATTATGCTTTATTCTATTGATAGTTACTTTTAAAATATGTGTATTCTGTATTTCTCTACAATATCAAGGGCAGGAAGGAAGCTACAGCACAAGGCAGCACTCTGGAGGCAAAAGAGTCAAGAGTTCAAGGTCAGCAGCAGCAGCTTCACAGGAAGTTTGATACCAGCCTGAGCTACAAGATATGCTATCTGAAGGAAGAGAAAGGAGGGAGGGAGGGAGAGAGGGAGGAAGGGAGGGACGGAGGGAGGGAGGGAGGGAGGGAGGCAAGATCCTATATACCTGACAAAATGCAGAGTAGGTTAGAACAGTGGCTCGCTGCCTTTTTATAAACCACAAACCCTAACAGAAAGTAGTAAGTTTTAAATTTTTCTCTATAAAGAGATTGCACACATGTCATGAAAACTAAGAAGCTGAAATAGTTTATAAGATCATGAAAATACTTTAATGTGTGTATTGATCATGAGACATGAAGATAGCAGTGAAAAGTTTTCTTTTAATGGTAATAAAATAATTTGACACAAAAGAATCTCTCTACATCTTATAAAGAAAGCACAAAATCTCCAAGCTGAAAGAAAACACTTATACAAAGCAAGAACTAAAACATTCTTAGACATGCTGAGCTATCAAAGTCCCAGAGCTTCTTCTAAGTCCTTACAACCCGTTCATTTCAGATAAGGATGGAGTTGTTTCAGCCTAGCTCTTCTTGACAAGCCAACTCTAATTGGACGGCTGCACGTCTTAAGAGGCTGTACTCTGGAAATGCCATGTGAAAAATGACTGCCTGCAAAGACGACAACATAATTTACATCAAGAAGCAAAAACTACCAAGATGCTTAAAAGTCCTTACTCTAATCATGATACTAGTCATATTTGCTAGGGATTTACACACCAATCACTAGTAAATTGTTGTATTTAATACTAGTATATGCAGTTCTAAAATATGGAAGAGTAAGGAACCTGTCTATGTATATAACACCTACCTAAAATTAGTATTCCAGTCAGGAATCCTGACTCAAGAAGAATAAACTCAAAAACTAATTAAGATTTAATCCAACTTGATACCATGCTTTACATGTCATTTTTCAATTAGAAGCTAAGCAATTCTGCCACATTGGTGATGGTTATATTTGGTCTCTAATAGAGATTACTGTTTAATGGAATACAAGTATAAGTACAGCTATAAATTACTCTGATTTTTAGTTTTATTTAACACCACACTACATCACTTTCCCAGAAATTATAATGTTTCACAGAGCTGTATTTTCCCTAGACCAGTTAACTTAGACAGGTAGATATGTTGCATTACACTTAAGAGGTTTTTTTCTCAGATAAACTATATAGTACATTTGTAAGTCTCAAAGATAAATTGGGCTTTAGTGAATTAGTATGACTTTAATACTACATTATACTCAAAACACTGTCATCAACCCATTGATGACATTTTGTTAAACCAATTTTCTTAAATCTAACAAAAACTAAAGACTAGGATTTCAAAGTTGAGCAAATCAGATAGACAAATCTGTGTAACTACTGAAGAAACAGATTGCAAGTTTAAACTACATATCAATGAGATGAAAAAACAAGTTAGCCCTCCAAAAAGCTAAATATCCATTTTGATGCTCAATGTACCATTAAAATTGCAAATTTAATGATAAGCAAAACCATTATTAATAACTTTTTATAAATCTTTTAAACTTAATAGGATGCCCAAAATCAGACAAAATTAGTCATGCTGATGTACTATATTTGATTATATGTTAGACAGTTTTAAAATTTTGCATAAAATAATTTTTTCATTATAAGATTATTTCAAAGCAAAGCCAAAATTAATCATTTTTGAAGTATGGCTTTCCTCTCTTTTATTTAATATAACAGGGACTTGTGGTAATTTTACAATGGATGGAAAATGGCTACACTAATTTCCATCAGTAGTTAAGTCTCTTTCATTAAGCTATGTTGTTGATGATATACCTTTTGAAGAATAAATCATGATTCTTTTCTTATTGGTATATGCTTGATTTATCTATTGTTTAGATTTTTAAACAAATATAAACATTCTAGCACACTGTGAGAAATTGTTCTTAAAAGTCAGTATTTAAAACATGTTTGCAGATGATATGATAGTTTACATAAATGACCCGAAAAAAAATCTACCAGGTAACAACTGGTAAACACATTCAGCAAAGAGGGAGGATACAAGATTAAACCAAAAAAATCAGTAGCCCTACTATATACACATGATAAGAGGGCTGAGAAAGAAATCAGGGAAACATCACCCTTTACTATAGCCACAAACAACATAAAATACCTTGGGGTAACACTAACCAAACAAGGTAAAGACCTGTATAGTAATAACTTTCATTCTTTAAAGAAAGAAATTAATGAAGATACTATACAATGGAAAGATCTCCCAAGCTGTTGGATAGGTAGGATCAACATAGTAAAAAGTGCAATCTTGCCAAAAGCAATCTACAGATTCTATGCAAAATACCGGCACAATTATTGAAAGAACAATACCCAACTTGATATGGAGAAACAAAAGACCCAGGATAGCCAAAACAACCCTGTACAATAAAGGAACTTCCAGAGGTATCACCATCCCTGACTTCAAGCTCTATTATAGAGCTATAGTCCTGAAAATAGCTTCCTACTGGAATAAAAATAGACTGGTAGACCAATGGAATTTAGGTGAAAACCCTGATATTAACCCACACACCTAGGAACACCTGATTTTTGACAAAGAAGCTAAATCTATACAATGGAATAAAGAAAGCATCTTCAACAAATTGTGCTGGCATAACTGGATGCTGGCATGTAGAAGACTGCAGATAGAGCCATGTCTATCGCCATGAAAAAACTTAAGTCCAAATGGGTCAAAGACCTCAACATAAATCCAGCCACACTAAACCTCTTAGAAGAAAAAGTGGGAAGTACCCTTGAATGAATTGGTAAAGGAGAAAGCTTCCTGAACATTACACCGGTAGCACAGACACTGAGATCAACAATTAATAAATGGGACCTCCTGAAACTGAAAAGCTTCTGTAAGGCAAAGAACACAGTCAACAAGACAAAACAGCTTCCCTCAGATTGGAAAAAGATATCCAACAAACCCATATCCGACAGAGGGCTGATCCCCAAAATTTACAAAAAACTCAAGAAGCTAATTTCCAAAACACCTAATAATCCAATTAAAAAGTGGGGTACAGAACTAAATAGAGAATTCTCAACAGAGGAATCTAAAATGGCTGAAAGACACATAAGAAAGTGCTAAACATCCTTAGCCATCAGGGAAATGCAACTCAAAACAACTCTGAGATATCATCTTACACCTGTCAGAAAAAAAATCAAAAACACCAATGATAACTTATGCCGGAGAGGATGTGGAGAAATGGGAACACTCCTCCACTGCTGGTGGGAATGCAAACTTGTACAGCCACTT